CGTTGACCCACTCCTTTTGACTGATCAGCCCGTCATTGTCCTGGTCAAACATACGGAACACTGCGGCACAACGAAAAGGAGAAACGTGACGGCCCAAGAACATTGTTATAGGGCACTAATCAGACTACAGTCAACTGTGACCACATTTCTACGCCGGACTCAGACGTGTTTGATCGGCGCGTGTACACTTGTCAGTTGAAACACGACTGCACCACCACGGAAATTCATGTTCAGACGTGACTTTGGCCATGGGGAAGAAATGATTAGATGATGTTGAGCTGCGTGCTAAGAGAATAATTTCCAAAAAGGTACACTCGGTGTGGCAAGAGTCACAGGAGTAGCGGCTGCACGCAACGCAGAGACCAAAATTCTAAATGGTCATGCTACGTCACGTGGCAATAACACAGAACAGTGCATTGTGCAAAAGTGTGCATGCAATAATTCCACGTTTACGGACGAGAATTCTGGACCGGGTGAACGTAGCGTGGTCATATTGGCGAGGTCATCGGAAAGCGAGGCTCCAGCGCACCTCAAAGACTACCCTAAGTAGGTGCAGTATTGTTATTGTGTTTCTGTGTGTGTGTGTGTGTGTGTGTGTGTGTGTGTACGCGTATGCGTGCGTGTGTGCGTGCGTGTGTGTGTGTGCGTGCGTGTGTGCGCGTGTGGGGGGGGGGGGGGGGTTGGTGCCTTGGTAGGGGTACATCTTATCAGACTTCCACTGTGCTCACCTATGTGGCCAGTGATGATGTCATAAAATTCAATTTGTCAGCATTGTTCCTTTCAGTGATGATGTCATAAAACTCAACTTGTCAGCAATGTTCCTTGCAGGACATTGTAGCGAAAAATGCACTGATCCCAATGGTGAAGGTCCCAGGTTGATTGCAGCAGGTGTTCCCGATTTTTTACAACTTGAAGTTTTCCCTATTTTTGGTGACATCATGATGACGTCATTAACATACCCAGACTAGGCGTAGCTCCCACGCATGCCATGGTTGCTCACCTCTGTCCATAATGATGTCATCAGTCATCTTGAAGAGGCCGTGCAGCATCTGGCGAAATGCACCGCGGTCAAAGTTGATCTTTGTCGGCGAGCAGTACCAGATCATGAGAAGTAGCAGACGCACCTCATCATGATCAACTACACACGCACGCGCACACATCCACACACACCCACACACCATCCACACCCACCCACCCACACACACACCCACCATCCACACACACACACACACACACACACACACACACACACACACACACACACACACACACACACACACACACACACACACACCATCCACACACACAAACACACACACACACAGCACAGCAATGCACTAGTTAACTTAAAAAGCGAATCCGCCGACTTTACGCTGTATGCACTGCGCCCAGAAGTGATGCCACTGACTTGCGCTGTATGCGCAGTGCCTTTTTGCGGTTCCGCAGACTCACCGCCGTGATATCATTTGCATGGCCTCAAAAAGCCTGGGGACGTGCATGCTTGGAATGCCACTCCTTACAGCATATCTCCAGTCTCAACTGATGCATGATGTACGGTGCAGTGCTCAGCTGAACAAATATTTCGACCTTGCCGGGCAAGTTATTTCACCAAGCACAGCATACAAATGTAATGTATACACAGCGACTCAACTGTGCACAGACTGTACTATATGAGTAGAAACGACCTAGCCGGCTAGGAGGCTGACCCTCCAGTTCTTTGGCACCCAGTACCTGCCAGTGCAGACAGCACTTACAGTTTGTGCCCTTGGCTAGCTTCTCGGCAAGCAGCCGCTGCTGCTTCTTCTCGATGTTGCTGAGCGGTACTAGCGACGTGAAGATGTACGGCACGGAGCTCAGCGTGCGCGGAAGCCTCTTCAGATCCGCCATGCTCTTTATCTCCCTGCTCTGCCCTGACTCCCTCGTGGAGCGGCGTGCACGCGAACTGGTAGATATAGCAACGACTCGCGCGCAATCAGAATCGGGATAGTACAAGGGTCTGCATGTGAAAACAAATTTAAAACACAATTCAAGAATGATTTCCAATGCGAATGTACATGAACTCACAGCGATGTACAGTGCTGGCCAGAAAACTCCAACCTCATGAATAAAGTAGCGCCCCGTTCGAGTGCACAGACCAGAGGGTATGTGTAGTGCTTGGGCTGCGTTGTGCCCCGCACAATTATATTCATGAGATTGGATTTCTTGGGCCAGTACTGTGCAGCGAAATCTGCGTAAGGTATCCGCCCAACAGATCTTCAAAACGAACGGGTCCCTGTGTGCAGGTGGTCACCTAATCCAGTGTTACTTGATTGGAAATATCATCCCCTAGGCCCTGGTCTTAGTTGTGGTGGTCCTCTGGGCCATGGTATGGATGGTCTTGGTCATTTACTGTTGAGAACAGGCAGAGACCATCAACTGATCTGGTCCATGTAGAACCGTAGCATAATGCACCCCTCCGACAACAAGTCCCAACCTTTTCGTAAGTACAACGAGTGTGCAACTCCCGCACACCCTGCTGTCCCGACAGAATTTCAAGTTGACGTCGCTATTACGATGCAACGCTCCTGGCACGAGTGATTTACGATGGTTGTACGGGGTATCAACGCATCACACATGCTAACTTGTACAGGATGAAATGTGGATTTGTCAACCAAAGGTCCGGGAAACGTCTGAGAATAGAGAGGTTTTAAAAGATGCACGTTATTACTGACGTGACGCGAAAGTTCAGCTCGCGTTGTTTGGCTCGCGCGTCGAAAAACAACGCGAGTGACCTGCAGCTCACTTCGAAGTTTAGAGTTTTACGCGAAATCTGACGTGAAATTGCGCGTCACGTCGGAAATAACGTGCATCTTTACCTCTCTAATATATGTACATGTCAACTTGAGATTCTATCAGAACGGCACCCATACAGTGGAGTGTGGAGTTGCACACTCTTGGGGTGTTCTAACTACAGTCGTCCCTCTTTAATCCAGCACTTTATAAACCAGCACCCTCGATGTACATACCCCCCCCCCCCCCCCCCCCCCCCCTGTGTGCTCCCCAACGCATTCACGCTGCACAACTTTTCACTACTTTCACTTTAGTTCATACATGTACATGTACATCCCTCAAAGCGGTGAACCCCTTGATAGGCGACAAGCCTCTGGGTCATCCTAATAAAGATATTATTATTATTATTATTATTTAAATAATCGACGCGGAGACAACAATTTTATAATAGCTATAAAGAGAACAAATTCTGCTGTCATCGCCACACTACAACAAAGTCATGAAGGTTTACCAAAATCGATTTTCTTGTCACAATCATCAGTGGAAAGCCGTGACTGAAGAATAACCATGCCAAATCAATAATTTATCTACATTCAATAATGTGTTACGAGAACAAAACAAAGTGCTAAAAATAGAATGAGGGAAGGTGAGACAATAGAAGTAAAGTGAGAGCTAAGTGCAACAGGGGTGAGGAACTAATTGCAACGCTAGAACTATGTAGTGAGACAAACAATCATGCTGTGCACCTACGAAAACAATCTTAACGCAACTACATGTTTCTTCTGCTTACAAAGATCAGGCTTATGCAAACGAATACAAACAGCCTCAAGTACTTTCAACTGACTAGCGTACCGTGCACGACAAAGAACAGAAAAACTAAAATCATCATACACCTGCAGACACTTAGGGTGAGACAACAGATGAAGAAAAACGGCAGACTTCTTACGATCACAATTACCATCCGATTCCTCGTCTCCACCAACCGCAACCTCGTCCCCCGTCTCATCTTCCAACTCATCCTCAGTGTCGTCCTCCGTGTCATTCTCCTCATCACCACCGATCGGTCCCAGGCTCGCTTCACGTTGCTGAACCTCTGTTCGTTGACTCCTCCCTTGATCTTGACGGTAACCTGTTACCATTGCTGTTGTTGTCATTGCCGTTGTTCCTGTTGTTGCTAAATCTTCTGTTCCCAGTGTCTTCACCGGTGCTCGACATCCAGTACTGTAATAATTCATTGAATAATTAGCCGTTGATCGTCTAGGTCTTTGAATGTTGATCGTATTGTTTTCTCTGTTGAATTCCGTTTCCCTCAGCCTTCTTTCTTCTTGTTCATGTTCAGTGCTCACCTCATCCATATTTGCCCGTTCCAGCGACACCACAGACTCAGCCCCAGCACTGCCGATGGCAGATGCAGGTGGCGGTTCTGGGGGAGGCAACGGCAACGATGGCGATGGGGGCATCACCATGATCACCTCGCCGCAGCGTCTACTTTGGTCTTGAGCTGGATGTTGTTGTGGTGTACTTTCTTGTGTTGTTATGGTGCATTGTGTTATAACGTTAGTGACAATGTGCACATTATCCATCTCCACGGCTCTCGATACGGGTAATGGAGGCACTATTGCCGTCGACGGCAATTGTGCTAACGATGGCTCTGATCGAGGGTTCTTAGGTGGCCTGCCGCGTTAAACATGTAGTTGCGTTAAGATTGTTTTCGTAGGTGCACAGCATGATTGTTTGTCTCACTACATAGTTCTAGCGTTGCAATTAGTTCCTCACCCCTGTTGCACTTAGCTCTCACTTTACTTCTATTGTCTCACCTTCCCTCATTCTATTTTTAGCACTTTGTTTTGTTCTCGTAACACATTATTGAATGTAGATAAATTATTGATTTGGCATGGTTATTCTTCAGTCACGGCTTTCCACTGATGATTGTGACAAGAAAATCGATTTTGGTAAACCTTCATGACTTTGTTGTAGTGTGGCGATGACAGCAGAATTTGTTCTCTTTATAGCTATTATAAAATTATTATTATTATTATTATTTTAAAACGAAGGTAAGTTATGGGTCGCAAATATCCACGCAAACACACATCCAGTCATAATAAGGCACTTGTCATAAGTATCCGAACGTTTTCGGTCCCTTCTCATCAAGGATTATACAGGGAATGGCTCAAGCTGGAAAGACTAAAACTTATATAGCGTAAAGATAATTAGATAACAACACTCGTGACAAGGTGGAAAATTATCAAGTTTAGCACGACACAAAACTCGAAGGAAAATAATAATAGTGACAACAACATAGTGAGCAAATTAAGTTACATTGTTACCACCTCGACGAAGAGTAACACCAAACAATTGTAGCGACAACACATTTTCTTTCTGTACGCAAAGTTCAGGATCTAACTTACGGATATACAAAGCTTCTAACACAGCCACATGTAACGCACATCTACCACGTGACAATATTGAGAAAACATTATCACTGTACAACTCACGACAATTGGTACGGGCTGACAGATGTTGCTTGATTGACGAAGTGCGATTCTTAGCTCCATTGGGTGTTGTCTCCTCCAATGTCCCGTCATCTCGCCTCTTCGTGGCATCACCACTATCTGTCTCTTCGCGTTTCCGCGGCCTTCCGTCGAGGTGGTAACAATGTAACTTAATTTGCTCACTATGTTGTTGTCACTATTATTATTTTCCTTCGAGTTTTGTGTCGTGCTAAACTTGATAATTTTCCACCTTGTCACGAGTGTTGTTATCTAATTATCTTTACGCTATATAAGTTTTAGTCTTTCCAGCTTGAGCCATTCCCTGTATAATCCTTGATGAGAAGGGACCGAAAACGTTCGGATACTTATGACAAGTGCCTTATTATGACTGGATGTGTGTTTGCGTGGATATTTGCGACCCATAACTTACCTTCGTTTTAAAGTATTATCCGCCTCCGACCTCTTTTAAAAAATTATTATTATTATTATTATAAACCAGCACAATTGTCAGTAGCCAAAATGTCCTTTTCATGCATATTGCAGCAGTAAATCCTATTTGTTAATCCAGCACCCTCCTTAATCCAGCAAATTTTCCGTGGCACAAATGGTGCCGGATTATAGAGGGGCCACTGTACATGTACACTGTTGATATAGTGCATGGTCCTAAAACCAGTACGCTACATCCCGTATACGGTTCTACAGCGGAATTCACTCAGTACCGATACCGTAATGTCGTGTTTTAAAGCCGGGCGTATTCTGTAGAAGCCGATGTCAGGGCTAGCCTTCCATTCACATCAGGCGTCTATTCAAACCAGGGTTTTCTATGTGCGTCCACAGTAAAACCAGCCTAGGCTTACCGTAAAGTCGCGGATAAAAGCCGGGCTTATAACCACATAAGCCGCTTTCTGCATCAGGCTTCAATGCAAACCAGGCTTGTATGCAAACCATGCTTATATTATGCACCACTGATATTTTCGCCAGGCTTGTATGCACATCGGCCGATCCAGGCTTCTACGCGCAACACGCGTAGATCTACCACTGACTACCGGTATGGCGGCAGTTTTAACTATGCACTGTACATCAAGGTACATAGCGCATGCACTCTTGACCTACCCGATCCGCGCTTGCATAGAAGCCAGGCTTCTACGCGCGACAGGCTTATATGCATTGACCCGTTTGATTTTCAGGCTTCTATCCGCGATGTGCTTGTATGCAAACCCGGCTTTTATCCGCGACTTTACGGTATGTGCCGACAGTGTATCTTGAAAATCAGGCTTGCATTCAAAACAGGCTTCTATATGAGATAGGCTTTACAAGACACCGCGGTACTCTGATACTGTATAAGCAGAAATATTCGTCTGGAGTTTAATTTCGTCTTTTTCGTCCAAGGAGGTTTTGGACTAAATTAAATGTAGGACTAATGTCGATTTGCCCAGCTTTTCTATACACTCTTATGATCCATGGACGAAATTTTCAACCGGACGAACTCCTTTTCTTTGGAGTTGGACGAAATTATTGACTGACGAAATTTTCTGCCTCTACAGTAAGACGTAATCTTGCTAAGCCGGCGCTGGCGCTGTGTTTACAAGAGGCGTTTCAACCCGGGGCGAGCTTCAACCCGCCATGAACACAGGTCGACTGGAGCGTTTACGTGTCGCATTTATCCGAGTTACACTGCACACGTGTGTTATGTCTAAAGTACTGTCTTTATACTCGGAACAGTTTCACCGTGATAGCCATACAACTGTACATCCCCATAGGCCATAGCACTCACCAAGCGGTCTCTGGGCTAGTTTCAGTGAGTGGAGACCGCTTGGAGAGTGATGTGGATATGGATTATTGAGTACATTACCCCCAGTGCAGTACTCTTATACGATGCAAAGGATGGCCACAGACTGTGGAGTCTGCACATGTGGAGAAATGTTTCACCCGTGAATAATACTATTATTGTAGACTGAAGTGATTGCGTGAAGCGCTGGTTCGCGCTGCCGTCTGCTTACCTATTCTTAGCTCACGACAGGGAAACAGCCACGGAACTCCTAACCAAAAATAGAAACTGGATAGCTGCCGCGACACTCCGACAGGGCCTGGAACCGTCTTCTGCAAATGCGTGGTAGACGTCCAGCACAGCTAGCGATGTTTCAGCGAATATCGACGGAGGATCTATGGCGCCCTGATTATTATAATACAACACGAGCCGGCAGTCTTTCACACTGGTTGCAGGGAATCCAAGTCTTGACTGATGAGCCACAAACAATCATGCTCGGGAAATGCACGACCTGATCCGGACACATGACACCATGGATAATGTGCCTCCTCCCTGGTTTACAACTCCTCCGAGTATGATCAGGACTAGCTGTCGCTATCGTGTGGACGAGCTCGATCGAACAGTTTCAAAACTTCTCGCGCTGGAGTGAGACGGTGACAGTCTAGTCTGGCATGGTTCCCATAGCGTAACCATGACACGAACAGGATTCATGGCATCAAAATTATTGTCATGGTTTTCATCAGGGAGTTGTAAAATACCCCTCCCTGGTTTTCATGGACTCTAGTCTTGCTGCCATGTGTCAAGGTCAGGGCCAGGGCCATTTCTTTATCCACATACCAAACATGCATGAAACATAACAGAAAAAGTACCAGATTCTGCTCAGTCTGCCGAAATAATTTAAAATTATCCCCCAAGACTAGGGCGCGTTTGGTTGGGACTGCACCTGTTCTGGGTCGGCCAGAACATGTTCTGCTTGCTCCGGCCTCGGTTGCTCCGGCCTCGAGGCCGGAGCAGACCGAGCAGTTTCACTTTTTCACAGTGAATTGAACTGAAACCTGGCGGGAACATCGATTTTGGTCCCAAATGATCACGCGTGCATACGCTTTCGGGTTGGACTCGTCGTACCGTACACAGTGACCATGGTGACGCATACACATTTTGAAGAATGCACCAAGTTTGGCATATTTTTTTCACAAAGATGTGCTCTGTTTCTGGAGTACCGTTTGGTTGGCATGAGGCTGCTCCATGTGCACCAGCTAGCTGTACCGATCCTGTTCTAGTTTGTACCAACCAAACACAACCCTACTGTAGTGCGTAGACAAATTACAAACCAGCTCTGAAAGGTCGAGCAAGCGAGAACCTGTGCTTACTAGTTACTACTTGAAGTACACATGTTGTGGTGTTTTGTTTTTGCTTTTCTTAACTTTAAAAAAAAGTAAATGAGGTCTGAATTCAGCAGGGAGTCGTCAAATATTTGACGACTCCCTGCTGAATTCCTTCTTTCAGTAAATGAGGTCACAGGATAAACACAATGGCACATGGAATTAGGGTATGCGCCTGTAAGTTGGAACCGTGCGGCTAAACGCCAAGATTCCGGTTAGCCGATCAGCTGAACACTCTAACCGTTTCAGCCCTAGTTCAAATATTGACTAGCGAAAGAGTGAAAGAGAGAGAAGATGAAACGCAGTTGAGGTTAAAACAGTTTGGTTGAGCGTTAGGATTCCGGTTAGCCGATCAATTAGAAACCATAACCGTTTCAGCCCTATGTCTAATGTTGACGAGTAAAAGAGTGAAAGAGAAAGGCACAGGAATTGCGGTAGACTAGCAGTTCGCCAAAGCTAAAACGAACACACGCTGGTTCGCATTCGTGCAATTTCGTGGCCCCCTATGTTGCACGGGCCACGAGTACTAATCCGGTGTGGACGTGTGAGTTACACGCCCCACGGAGAATCCATAAATACAAATACAACCAAGAGCCTAGAAGGCGCCACACTGTGCCAGGGCGATGAGATCGAGCTGCGGCGGGCAGTTGGGACGCTGCTTGGTGACGGACACAACCACATGGTCAACGTGGTATGTCTTGGGCAGGAGAACGATGCGCTTGTGCCCAAGCCACTTGCCCGGAACCATATGCAGCAGGTCACCGCCGGAGTAGACTTGCGTCATGTACTCCAGAACGCACTCGCCTCCCGTCTGATTCTCCATCAGCACGACGCGGTCGGCGGCCACGGCCGCGCCCGCCTTGAGCGTGAACGTCGCGTTGCCGATCGGCGTCGGCTTGACGACGTGCGCAGCGTAATGGCTGACGTTGCTAGGGTAACACATGGAGATGAAGTCGCCGAGAGCGCGGTACGTTTCAGGTAGTGAACGGTGCCGGTGGTGTCAGGCGCAAGGTTCAGCATGAGGTTGCAGTTGTTACCCACCGTGTCGTGGTACACGCTCTTCATCTCCTCCAGGGAGCGAGAGCCGGCGTCCTTGTTGAAGAACCAATTGTCATGGTTCTGCATGGTGGTGTCGCACTCCGCTGGATACCTGTGAGAGAGAGGGAGAGAGAGAGAGAGAGAGAGAGAGAGAGAGAGAGAGAGAGAGAGAGAGAGAGAGAGAGAGAGTGAGAGAGAGAAACAGAGAGAGAGAGAGAGAAACAGAGAGAGAGAGAGAGAGAGAGAGAGAGAGAGAGAGAGAGAGAGAGAGAGAGAGAGAGAGAGAGAGAGAGAGAGGAGAGAGAGAGAGAGAGAGAGAGAGAGAGAGAGAGAGAGAGAGAGAGAGAGAGAGAGAGAGAGAGAGAGAGAGAGAGAGAGAGAGAGAGAGAGAGAGAGAGAAGAGAGAGAGAGAGAGAGAGAGAGAGAGAGAGAGAGAGAGAGAGAGAGAGAGAGACAGAAGATAGAGATAGAGAGAGAGAGAGAGAGAGAGAGAGAGAGAGAGAGAGAGAGAGAGAAAGTTACCATTTATACAGACAAGGAAGTATAATTAATGCGGACAGAGACCTCTACATGGTTCAGACTATTTCCTGCATTAGGCTGCATGCAAGGCTACATGTGTATTGGGTGTACCACGTTCGGTGTTGCGAGAGTGTGGCAAGTGCATTGTTTTAGGTTGTCAGTAAAATACTCGTACTCGCTCGGTTTTCAAAGAGTAGAGGAGACGGTTTCAAATAGGACATAGGTTGCAAACCGGAACGGTCTAAATATTCACTTCCCAGGGATCGATTTACTTTGATTTTTTGCATAGCAGTCACTGCTACACAGTTTTACAATTGACTAGCAACTCGCAGTATTGATTAGCAGTTTTCCTTCATCAAAAGTTTACATGTATAGCTGTACAATAGCAGGATTTCGTAAAGAAGAGAACAATAGCTGCAGTTGCTATTTGCTTTTCCAAGCGAATGTTCGACCTGAATATTTACGTTAGAGTTTTCGCTTGGGCACGTTACATGTTCAGCGTCCATCCGACTTCGAGTTCTTCACAACACAATGTCCTTCAACAGGGCAGTTCCACTGATTCCTTCGACAAAGAAACCTCAGGAAAGCGCTCAAACGACTGTGACATTTCGTGCAAAGCGCATCGAATTTCGCTTTTCTCCTTTTCTTCATCGAAACGAATCGACATTCCTGGCGCGTCCAGTTCTTTGTCCCTCTTCTGGACAGTGAATCACTGATCAGATTCACTGACATGTTGGCTACATGAGACTAAGAACCATCTACTTCAACTGTGCCTTGTCGAACAGAAACAAACTGAGCTTGACAGTGAAAGAAGAAAGGAGAACATCAGGAAAAGTCACCGCCGTGTACAAAACGTCAGAAGACTGCAGTCATGTACGACCCGTGCTAGTGCAGTGTAGGTCTACGTGTCCAAAATCGAAAGAGCGCGATCCGCGACCCGCGCGCGGACTGAGCAGGACAGGCCAGTTGGTTGGAGTAGTAAAATACTACTCCCTAGTCAGCAGTGTGTACAACAGTCGCATGTAGACTGCACACAACTAGTCGTTGTAGTGCATCGCAGTTTTGGGCGATACAAAAAACGAAAAGCGAATCGCAGCCAGTGAATTTTGATTCGCAAACTGCGATGCGAACCCGGATAAATCGATCCCTGCTTTCTCTCTTGGTATTTGATTAGAAAACGTATGTCACAGTGAGACTACGATGTGTTTTACTCAGCGCCAAAATTCCATGGCTCTGCGATGACCAGAAGCGCCATACCAAGCATTTGAGTTTTCGAAGTGTTGCTTCCCACTGCGACTTGAGTTTTACGTCTTTTGAAAAATCAACTTCTTGTCGCAGGTAAACAGCGGCTCGCCTCTCACCAATAAAGAACCGTATACCAATGAAAGCTAAGGGAAGCACACACGAGGCTTATTGGTGCTCTGTACTGGCCGTCGTGGAGCCATAGCAATTACCTAATTTCAGACCCCGAGTGAATTTGACGGGCACTCTAAAACCTGTCCGGTTTGGAGCCACCTCTGTAAACACCAAAAATTGAGGGCAACTTGGAGGCAACGGGCCAACACAAAGGAGGGGCTCAGATCGATCGACTCTGGCCTCAGAGCAAACTTCAACATGCCAGCTTCCTTCCACAAACATATTTCGAGTGAACAATCCACACTGATGATCGGATTGGGTCTACACAATTTTGCTGTCAACCCGTTCCGGTATCGAACCGTCGCCTCTACTCGAGTCCCCAGTTTAGGCACTCGTTTCACATGCACCCACTCACCCCCCCCCCCCCCCCCCCTCCCCCACACACACAGAGAAGAGAAGCAGCAGCGCAATGCTTACCAGTAGTCGCCGTCGACGCTGGGACCACCGGCCGCGTCAGAAGTTGACCACATATCCCGGGTAGGGTGGCCACTCTCCGTGCCCACCCATCTCACCGCGTTCGGTGTCAAGCCAAATCCTGCAAACACAGAGACGATCCGAGACACAGGTGGAACAACACAGGATCAAATACAGCAGTGTCGGAACGCCCACAGCAAGAGATGAACGTTGGACATCTGCCAACCTTTGCAAACCTGAGATCACGTCAATCACATACCTAGGTATGAAAATATACAAATGTAGCTGTGAGGCATATGACAAAATGCACTTTGGGGTGCTTATTAACACCCTCGATATCGGGATGGTTCTGGCCCAGTCGAGACGGTTGGCAGGGTAAGGTGTTGGATTTTAACCAGCAGTACGTACTGTAAAAGCCATTATTCTAACGAGGCGCATGTAATATAACGATTTCCCAAAATTGACTGGTTTACGTGTACCGAAAGTAACGATTCTCACTCATTGTCAACGCTCAATAGGACAGTATATGTATCGATTTCTATTTTAATGACAGATTTCTCCTCGTTAACTTGTTAGGATTAGCACTTCGTTATATATGTGGCTTTTACAGTATTTTCAACTTCTGCTACTGTAAAACCGGAAAGTCTAACGAGTCACAAAGTCTAACGTTTTAACGACCAATTATTTTTCGTTATTTGAAAAATCGTTATCGCTAGATGTCTGTTTAAAGATGTGCATACAGATGGGTGGCCAGTTAGCCATCGTTAAACTTTCTGCACGTTATCATGCCACAATTACAAAAAACGCTACACTTTTTGGTCGTTAAACTTTCCGGTTTTACAGCAAGTCATTTTTTCTTCAGACTTTCCCCTTTTTTCTGGAAAAAAAATTGTTGAATGGTCTCTGCTGGGATGACAGCTACACCATAGCTCAGTGGTTAGAGCATCGCTGGCCTCAAGCGAAGGTCCCAGGTTTGAGTCCTGGTGGTGACAATCAATTTTTTCTTGAGACTTTCCCATTTCCATTCCCTCAACTAGTAAATATTTTTCCTTTTTCCTCTTTAAAAAAAAAAAGCCACTAGACGTGAGACATACACTTTTTTATCCTAATAAATGCAAGTTCTAAGTCAAGAAATTTTAATTTTTGAGTTTGAATTTGCATTTTCATCTCCAAGAGACCCGAAGAGACCAGAATGTACAGTTGCGGCCAAAGAAATTCGACCCAGGAGGCAAAAAGTAATGCCGCGTTTTCATTTCAAGTACATCAAACCCGTTCCAAAAACTCATCCGAGGCGCGTATGCGCCTTGGCGCTGCTTTCGGCATGTGGGTCGGATTTCTTTGGCCCCGACTGTACATTCACAGTGGACCACCAAAATTAGTGAGGTTCTGCCCTACCAAGAGTACGTACCCCCCACCCCCCCCCCCCCCCCCCCCAACAGTGTGCAACTTCCTCATACCCTGCTGTCCTCACAGGATTTCAAGTTGACGTCATTTTTATAATGCAATGACGCTTTGCACCAGTGATCTTCGACATTTGTACTGGCTGCCAACGCAGCACAAGTTTGTACTGGATCAAATGGGACTTTGATCCACCACAGGTTCAGCATACGTCTGATAATACGTGTACAGTGCTGCACAGTGCGCACTGCATCATAAAAATGATGCCAACTTGAAATTCTATCGGTACAGCACCCATTCTCGAGTTTCACATTCTTGGTGGGCTATGTACTCTTGCCTATACGTGAAACGTAGAGAAATCACGTAGAGAACAGGTGCCTGGGTTAGAGTCTACGGCTTTGCGTGTTTTGGGTCCAGGTTTCTACACGTCGATGGGGTTCTCTACGGAGCTCTTCACGTAGAGAAAATCTCATCAAACTTGCAAACGCCTACAACATTTTCCCCAAAAGTGAAACCAAAATAATTTGACATTCTAAATTTGTTGCCTTTTCTGAAGCCACTTCTATTCTTTTGAAATTGTGATCACGATCAAACTTGAACAGTTCGGTTTGTTTCTTTGAAACGACTTATTCCAAACCAGGCATCAAGATCACCAAACTGGAACCGCTGCCGTGGCTACTCGTCACCATGGTGACCACCATTTCGCAGGGCTTCTTAGGGGCTGTCCGGGGTTACCGATTGTTTTTGCGAAACGAAAAGTTTTAGTATTTTCAACCCCCACCCACCCACCCACCCTTTCTGCAGGTAAAACGCAGTCCAACAAAATCTTGATTTCAATCTTCGGCACCAAGAAGTAACTGGGCAATCTCCACGTACATTCAATAATTATTTTCAAAACAAAACTCCTAACCCCCCCCCCCACGAAAGCATTTCGTTTTGAAAATACAATTGGTAACCTTGTAGTACGTTAACCCCTTGTCGGGTGTACGTCTATTTCTGCCCCGTCCGAAGATTACAATACTTCCAATCCAATAACTTTGTAGCGTCGATGTACGAATGAGACGTTGCGGTGCTAACCGAAGAAAAGTCCGATTGCATGTGTGCATCATCACGCGCCCAGCCATCTCCATCTCCACCACGAGACGGGGTACACGCACTGCTTGTGCTTGTCGCTTCTTCTGCGAGTTCCATTGCAAATTGCAAAGCAAAGTAGAATCGGAAAGCAGAAGCCTTCAAAGTGTTCACACCTTCCCGTAGCCTTGACAAACTCTCTACGGCGATGGCTGAGTACGTTGATGTTCTCGTTCACCTCTCCGAGGCAGAAGCTCAACGAGAGGCTGACGCCGACCTAGACTTCCTTGATTTCTTGTTGGGAGAATTGAGGGAGGAAGCGGGCGATGACGATACGCATATGCCTGAGTTGCTTGCTTTCGACCAAGATGATGATAAGAGGACACTGCTGGAATGGAAGGAGACATTTCTGTAATGCATTTTGACTCGCGAGATACAAGTTCAAGGGATCAGACGGACTGTGTCCAGTCTTGAGACGACTCTCCTATCCACGCCGCCGGAAAGACTCTGGGGAGACATTCGGACGGAGGAGAACCGCACCGAGTGAGGTGCTCAACACGACTTGCAAGTTTCTGTAGAGCACGTGTAGTGATCTTCTGCTGCACGCCGTCGACCATCATCCATGGCTTTCCGCAGGAGGACAAGGTTACTCCACCCCGATACAAGTTGTTCAAGGGATCTTGATTTCTTGTTGGGAGAATTGAGGGAGGAAGCGGGCGATGACGATACGGAC